GAGGGGGCGCAACTGCGTATGTGTATATATATATGTGTGTGTGTGCGTGTGTGGAGGCACACATTGCGAAAGAGTCGCATATTCAACAGGAAAATCCCTTAATTGGAATAAATTAACTGTTATTGCTACGGCATGCCACGCCGACAAGCGCAACAACAGTCGCACGCACACACACACACATATACACACACACAATCCCACGGCGGGCATTATATAGACATATAAATATAAATGTATCTACATATATGTACATATGCAGCTGCAGATACAGATACAGATTGTACACATGTATTTGCTTACTCTCTCTCCCTCTCTCTTTCTCTCACTGTATATTTGTATGTGTGTGTACAAGTCGCTATCATTTCCCACTGGAGCAGTGTTTATTCTATATAGCGAACACACAAACCCATATACATACAAACATATATACATATGTATATTTATGTATATATTTACATATACATATCATATGTATACACATGCATATATATTTATATACATGCACATGTATTTGTGTTCCGTTAATTTTTGCGCGCCGCACAACACGAAATTTAATAATATGATAAAAGTGAAATTTATGACACATACGAGAGAACAGCACGATTCACAAATAAATATAAAAAAAAAAAAAGCTAATAATATAATTTTTTTCTTTTTTGAACTACATCTAGCGAAAGGACAACTGACATAAAAAACCCTTTAATAGTGCGAGAGCCTCACTGAAAACTCACTTTAGCCTAGTCAAAAATATTCACAAAAATCATCTTCTGTTCACCTTCTCAACTCAAGCCTACCCCACAGCTTATTTGCTTAAAGGGTATTCAGTACTTGCTGCCTGTGGTATCTGTGGCAAGGGGCAGTTCAAAGTTGATGCAACGCAATTTGCAGCTCGCTGCCCTGGCCTAATGAACACGACCCGAATATCCTGTTTGGCCAGCGACTCCTGTGCTGCTCCTGTGCAAAGGATGCCTTTTTTTCCACATTTCGTTTAATTTTAGTTTTCTCTTTTTTTTTAAGCTTCCTTCTTTTTTTCAAACAACAAAGTTTCCACAGAAAATCGCCTGGAGGTGTGTGGCAGCTAAAGCAAAGAGTTCACATTATGCAACATAGTTTTCCTAGCATAATATTTTGTCCTAATTAGAACAAGTAATAAAGAAAGGACTACTAGAGAAGAGCTCCTAACCACGAATAGTGCTTTTATGTTTTTTTTTCTTCTTTTCTGTATTTCTATTGTATTCCGTTTTCCAGGAAATGATTTATGTGGGCTTCAGGGTTGGGGTTGGGTACTTGGAGGGCTTCTATGACAGACCGTTTTGATTTGGTTTTTAGCTATCTTTTACTTCTATTGCTAGAGGACTTTGCTTATAGCTGAAAGACAATGCTCAATGAAGCACTTATGAATAGATCGGAATGAGTTTCTAATAAAACTGTTCTCTAATCTACATAAAATTGAGTGAAACATACAAGCGTGTGTCTTTGTGTGTGTGTGCGTATATGTACATATTTAAATGTGTTTGTAGCATTCTTCTTATCAGCTCATGGTAGCGGAGTGCGATAAGCATATGTATTTATGGTATTACTCGACCAAATAAGTGGGTATATATACGTGTGTGTGTAAATGTATGCATAATGAGTAGGGGCTCCATATGTCATATACACACACATACATTACGTGTACTTTAATGATGGCCATGTGGCATAGGCGTAATGCCAAAAAGGAGCATAGACCATCTAAATGAGAATGAGCTATGGATACACTTAAAGACATATATCATAGCTATACAGTTATGGAAAGCCGAAAACTTACCCGCCAATGAAATTCCAATTTGCGTGCCACAATTTGTTGTTGTTTGGGGCTTCACTCGGCGTCTCTTCCGGCGCTGTTGATTTGTTTGCCTTGGAAGCATTTCAATTAAGAGTCTCGGGGCGCTTAATTGTTATGTGCGGATACTTATAGATGATAGTTTATTATATCATTTTTTTTTTTTTTTGTCGTTTTTTTTCGTGTTTTTTTGTGGGGCGGCAACGAGTTGTTTTTCATTTAGCCCGATTGAGGGCAATTATGTGTCCAATGATAACGCGTGTCGCACGGCCATAGCTGTTAAATGAATAGAGCACAGAATTCTCGTTCTAAGACACTTGATAAAGCATACAAGCTGTTATATATGTATTGAAATATACATATATGTATATACATATGTACATGTGTATATGAATTCGTAAAGTTTATCAGCACAGCCAGCACACAGACACACATACAGATCCTTGAGCAGCCGCGAGCAACACCGTCGCTCCGTACGCCAACGCTGACGCACAACAACTGAACAGGAAAGAAAGAACGAAAAAAAAAACACAGCAACACAGTTGAAGAGCTCAATTGAAATTGAATTCAGCTTTGAAACGAACGAAATGCTACGAAATGAAGTGAAACGCAAACAAATTGACTTTGACACGCCGCACTTTGTATACTCTGCCAGCTAGCAGCGAGCATTATGACAGCTAAATTATTTAATTGCGTAAATGTGTGTCAAACGGCCGCCCGCTGGGCTTGGCGCACTGTTAGTGTATTAGAACAAAGAGAAATAACGAAGGAGAGCGAGAGAGTAAGTGAGAGTGCCAGAACGCGTTTCGTTTCCATGCTGTGCCTATGCGCTCTCCGTCTTATCAGTGAGCGGCGCTGACGCTGACGCCGATCGCTTGTTGCTTTGTGTGCGTGTGGAAAAGAGATGGCACTGCCAAGCAACGCAAACCCAAGACCAAACACATTTAATCAACATTTAATTTTATCGCGCATTAGAGAGCATGTACACATTTCTGCAGCCTTTGTGGCTGTGTCTGTGTGGGTATTTTTTTAGTTGAGCATAAAAAACGTTTGTGTTTTAAAGCAAACACACCAAATTGAAGACAAGAGGCAGCAGCGCAACATTTGCAAAACACATGTCAACGGCAGTGTTGCCGAAACTTTTTCAGCAAAAGTAGCAAAACCGAAGGCTGAAAGTAGCTAAAAGTAGCCAACTTTCTTCTAAAATAGCTGAAAAAGTAGCAAAAAAGAAAACAGTGCCGTATTTTTTCATAAAAAGTCAACTTTATTAATTTAATTATTATAATATCTCATCTATGACCACCAACTTGTCATTTTCACCATTGTCGCTTTTATAATTTGCCTTTTTAAGGTAGTTGGGTGGAACGCTATACTCATAGTAAAAAAAAAAATAATTCTAGATAAAAAAAGTTATCGGATGAGTTATCGAAAAAATATGATGCATGCCAAATTTCAGCTGCGATGATTCCTTCTGCCCGTTACATACTTTTTCACAAAACCATTCCCATTTTCAATGGGTTCAGGGTATAAAAACTGATAAGAAATGAATTTCGCATAACATTTTAGAAAGCTTACCTATTATATATATATATATTTGAAAATAGCCAGATTTGTAGCTAATAGCTGTTTGAAAATTTGTGTAGCAATCGGACTCAAGAAGTAGCCAGATCTAGCTACAAAATAGCTGATTCGGCAACACCGGTCAACGGCATGTTTCCTTTGACGCTGGCCATGGACAAATTTGCCCAGCCAAGCAAAAGAGAGCGCACGCAAGTGGGAGCGAGATAGGTAGCACCGAAGAGAGCGCCGTGTCCTTGATCTGCATTGCAGTGAGCAGCGAGTGACGAGCACTGATTGGCCATCGATGCAGCCAAATTAGAAAATAGAAACAGAAAACAAACAAAATCGAGCAACTCTTTAGCTAAATGCACAAACGCATGAGCAAAAGGCAAGAGAACGCTGAATATTTTCCTGCATGTAAATAAACATATGCAAATCTGAATGTGTGACGTATGAATTTTGATGTCACACACATGCACACCCGTCTCCTACAGCCACAATACAAAGTATGTGTATTTTCTTTTAAGGCACAGACAGCCAGATAAACACACACAAGCACACACACTCACACACTTAGAGATTGCCCATTGCCATATGCAAAGTCTTGGAATATTTTTTGCTCTTTGAGCTCTTGTCATCGTCGTTCTCCTTTTCGTTCTCGGTATTTGTTGTTGTTGCTGCTTTAAACGCGCCAGCGTCATCAAGTTTTATGAGCAATTACAACATCTGTTGAATATCGCAAAAGAGACGCACACACACACAGAGAATCACACACACGCACACACACACACACCCTCTCGTACACAGACGACAGAAAAATGAGAGCATCTTCATAGAAATCGCACATTTTTCTGTCTTTCGCTTGTCTTCCTCTTCTCGGCGTTTTTTTTTTGTTCATTCACTAGGCAACACAAAGCGCCAAACAGATAAAATAGAAGACAAGCAGTGGAAAGAGGCTAGGGGGGATGGCGGCACACGGCATGTTAGGGCAGATGAGGGTACAATGTGAAATGCGAAATGCTCAAGTCTAAGGGCAGTCGAACAGCAACAACAACAACAACAACAACAATGACAATAACAATAGGCACTTGGCATTGAACTTAGGCGCAGCTCTTTTGTATGTCCTCTCTCTCTCTCTCTCTATCACTCTCATTGCTGATATACCCTTTCACTCTTACCCACTGGGGCTACTCCTGATTCTTGATTGAGCTATTGAATTAACATTTGCAATGATTTACCAAACAACATTTGATAATGATGCCAAAAAAAAAGGAAGGCGAAATAAGAAGAAGCAGAGCAAGTAGATGGAAAAAAGTACACACAAGAATGTGGGCGTGACATTAAATCATTGGGGCTGGCTGACACACAGCAGCGTGTCGAATTTAAGCATACAGATATAGATATAGATATATATATGCATGTGTATGTATGTATCTTGATTTCAATGGGGAATATCAATTTCAATATAAATGTCTTGATTGAAGATGGTTTTCCATGTTGAAATATATCTATCAAAGCAGCCAAACTGTTTGCGGTGACGATATACATATAATATAATAAAAAGTGAAGCTTAAAATGAATCGGAGCATATTTAAGACTTTTGATGGAGCCTTTTCTATCAATCATAAATTATTTGCAGCTCTAAGCAGTCTCAATTTCTCTGGCTGCATTTCATCGTTAAGAAAGAAAGAAACAGCTTCATTGTCTATATTTGGGCAGGCTTAAATTTTGGCTAGACATATAATTTGGCTAGACATACATATATATTTTATGTAAATATTTCGAAGATGAATTTAATTTAAACATTTTAAGGAAACTGTTGAAAGAAAACGAATCAAACTTAAGACTTACTTGATAAAAGTAAATTCTTTCAAATTTTAAACATAGACAGAACACATAATATTTTAATTTGTTTAGACTAAAGACTAAAATATATGATAAAAAAAATTCCAAAAAATTTAAAGAAATTTATACTACATGAAGAAAAGTTTAAATATGTATATATAAGAAAAGAAAAATAAATATTT